TAACACTCTTGCCAATATCATCCCCGAGACAATTTTCTTCGAGTTCAATAAAAATCTGTCAAGCTTCCTTCCGTCATTTTCAGATGGTCATCATTATTCTTACAAGATGATAATTCGTTTAAAACTAATGAGGCCTTATACTAAAGTTATTTCAACGGGGTTATATAAATTTACAATAACTAGGCATGGCATAGTTATGATTTTTTTTCTTGATACCTGTCTTAATTGGTGAGTTTGGTAATATTTTATTATCTATTTATACACGTCAGGGCGATATAAAGCTTCTTCGAGTAAAATCATTTAGTCTTTGAATACTAATACCATCTATGATACGATTATTAATTAGTATGTATTTGGGTTCAAATGTTGGTTTAACCTTTAATCCACCCCTACCTAATAAGTATTTTTCTGGTAGACGTATTGCTTATATGTTGATTTCATTGCACTTAGCCCGCCTATCTAGGATGTTGGGTGCATTGAAATTTATTATAACATGTAATTGTTATTTTTATTCTACTTGTTATAGTTTAAATTCTACGTTGTATATATATATATATATATACGCAACTCAGCCGCCGTCTTCAAATAAGATCTACCGACTAAACTCCTCATAATGTACTTTTCTACGACATCAAATCTTCATTACAAGGCGATTTGCTCATAAATGTGCTCATTTGCTATTTTCATAGTCCGCACTTTAGATTAGTACCAACTTATGCGCTATTCAAGTGTACCTTTGGTTCTACTTTGAGGTCAGGCGACACGAGGCTGGAACCACGGCTTTTTGACTAAAATTTTTGATGTGCAAATGGTTGCCCACAATGCAGCAGCGGGATAGCATGTCCTTGAATGATAGAGAGGATGTCATCGTGTTTCGTTTTGGCGAGAAACATCAACCCAAGTAGGGTAGCGACTAAAAGGGCAGACGTCAAAAGGCAAACATGTTGCGATAATGAAGGACTGATAGTAGACTTTTCCCATAATCACATCAGTAAACCTCACGTTTCCCAAACCGCCTTCTCATCTATCGAGGAACAGACTTCAATTTTGACTTTGTACTTCCTAACGGGACTCGGACCTAGATCGGGGTGGTGCAGAGTACAATTTTGACATGTTACTGCTATGGCAAACTCTAATAGAACAAGACAGACGTAAAATCTAAGCAAACCCTGTTCTTTGAAAAATCACATTTTGCTGTGTGAAATTAAATGGAATTGCAAGGTCTACTCATACGATTTGGGAAAAATTAACTTCTAGTCCCCTTATCATCTTAGACGAAATATGATGAATTGACTTCATCTAAAAAGAACTCACTCTCAATCTCGAAAACCTTCTTATAAACGAACCAAGAACTTCGGACTTCCTAAAACCATCGTGACGAATACCTGTCCACGTTGGTCCAGATTTCAAAACCACGGCACCTACTCAGACCATTTTGGAAACTGTGCCGACTTTAACTTTTCGGGACACCTTTGGTCCGGGGCTCGAGCCTGAAGCCAATCAAAAGTGTATTTGCAACCTGAAACCAGAACAATTGTACCAAAGAGCAAAATCCGTCTTCTTCAGACCGTAGAGAAGCGCCGCGATAGCGCCTTCAACTCACCTCGTTGTAGGCCTCCAGAAAAGTTATGATGGCCGTCCTCACTTCCAGACTGTTCTTTATCAGACTGCTCTTGTAGCTGCGTTTCACGGTCGAGATGTTCTCCATCACTCGGCGGGCATGCTCCGCTATCCGAGCCAGGCCGTAGCGCACGGACTCGATTTTGTCGGCCAGCTCCTGCGGAATTTGAAGTCCGAACAGTTGCATCATTGCATGCGCCTCCTGTGACGGGGTTGACAAAGAAGTTAATCAAGTGAAAGCCTTCACGTTCATCTCGCACTTTTCGTCCCACAAGACCTGCCCCCAAAAAACACCAACTGCCTTGCAGGCAATAATAATAACGGAAAATGCAACAGCATCGTGCAGAATCGAGAGTGGGTTTTCCTATTATTCCCTTGCTCGCCTATTTGATAAATCTGATTGCTGCCTTTTAATGGGTAGATCAACATATCAGGCATCAGCTTTTGTCCAGTTATTAACCCTATTTATACATGCTACTGTAAATTGAATAAAAGTAGTATATATGTTTAAACGAAAAATCAAGTTAAATGTTCAATTTAAAATCGGTATGGTCGCAGTCTCCTTGCAATGCATAGAAGTGGGTTGATCTCGTTTTCGCAACTTGGTATTGCTGCCAGTGCGACTTTGTCTCTAGTCCTCTGCCATTGTAATTATCATAACTCCCAGCGTCAGAAAATGTACCAAGTCGACTGTCTGACTCTGGAAATTATACGAAGAGAAACTTGGTTTCGATGAATCTTCTGAGATAACATTGTTAGGAACACCTTCATTTCGTATGAAAGTGCATGAAGAAGATCTTTATCGATCTATATTTTTTATTTTCTTTTGGCTCAATTGAGTCTATAGAAGAAGTAAGATAGAGCCGGATAGTGTTCTTGTGGACGGCGTCAACATGAATATGATATCTGGTCCGATCGACCAACGAATCTCTTCTTGATTCACTTTCATACGAAATGAAAGTCCTCCTAAAAATCTGGAAGTTATGCTAACAATTATGTCAGAAGACTTCGAACAGGGTGCGTCCAACAAAGTCGCCCGACAACAGGACCAAGTTGCGAAAGTGAGATCAATCCACTTCTTATGAGGAAGGGTCTCTTTGCTGTTGCTAAATGGAATTAAAAGGAGCCTATTGTTTCTTCTGTTTGTCCTGACCACAAACGCTATTCCGTCCAGGTCCGTCGGCTTCAAACGACCACTCACCTGATTCTATCGCTCGAGGTGAGTTTGCTGAAGGTAGCATCAATCGGGGCTCGGCGAACCTTTGCCTGAAGAATGGTTCCTGCTTGGAAGCCAGGAAATTCAGATGAGGCGCCAAACGCGCAAATTGTCTACCTCTGACTATCAACTTGTCAGATTTGATGACGAGTAGTTAAGCCTCTTTCCATTATTGAAAAAAATCCCAGAACATTCATTTCCATCAACCTTAAAGGTCAACATTTGATTGTTGAAACCCTGGGCATCCAACAAAGTTGGTGCGCGTGAGTTTAAGGAAAAAGTCAACTTGGAAGGGTCGGATTTTCCCAAAGTATTGGGTTCTTTTTCTCATTGTAACGAAGCTTAATGTTACCTCACTCCTACATCACTGGCCATGCATCATCGGCAGATCTCGTAACCGTCAGCAGATATAGAATGGCTTTTGTCCAGTCAGTTGAGACGAGAGTTGGTGGAGGAATTTGAAACATTTTTGCTTTCCAAAAGACTCTCCAATTCGAGATGGACATCGGTTTACACTTCACTGCTGCCTCCTAAACTCCCCAAACATGTGGCA